AAAAAAAAAAAAAAGAAAAGAAAGAAAGAAAAGAAATTTTAAAAAGGCTGCATTAGTGGAGGCAGCAGGCAGCACTCAGACTTCCAGACTTCCAGGGGCCATGGAAAGGCTTCTCCTTTCAGTCCACAAAAGGCCGAAATGGCTTTGGGGTCTGTGGTTTGCAGAAACAAGCCACAGAAAATCCAATTCAGTGTTTTCCAGGGAGCAGGTACATGGCTGGCTGGACTCTTGCACTAACACTTGTACTAGAGGACTGGAGATAAAGTCTGTGCATGGACTCTTCCCAGGCTCTCTCACAGGCGTTCTCTCTGATGATTACAACTTACTTATGCTAAGCATTTGTGCCTGGGGAATGAACACACCACCAGTTTTTTTTTCAATGTTTCTCAGAAGTGTGTTCAAATGTGTGTTTCATGGAATCACTGACATCAGCTGCTTTGCATGTTCGGTGTACTACTCGGCTTGCCACCCCGGAACACAGTACCCAGTACCCACAACTTACAGGGGAAGCAGTTCAATTCAGCTCACAGCTTTGGAGGATGCAGTGCATGTTTGGCAGGCTTTAAAGGACAAGAGGGTGGCCAGACAGAGCTACTAGGTTCTTCTCTTTTGCTAGCCTGTATCTGTTACATGTGATAAGATTAACACAGAGCTAAACACACAAATAAGTACATGAAGAACTAGTAGCACCATGAATGAGACCCAATTTGTTTCCTGTTTTCTGTGCAGGATCAGAAGATGTGGGGGGAGGCAATTTGGAAAAACTGTCATGGCTTCTATCTAGATATCCCCCAAAGCCTCATACAGCCATAGGTGCGACCTTCTGGGGGTGGCCGGATCTGAAGTGTGTATGCTACGATTAATGGTGTGAGTGCCGCTCGCCCTAAGAGAGGGTAGCCTGGATAAGATACAAGGACCAGAAAGAGAGCTGCTGCTGGTCACGTGCTGCTTGTTGTCTTCTGCCTGCCTGCTCTACAGTGACCCTGTCTTGCCACCCTGCCTTGGAGCCAGCCTAAAGCTTCTAGAAACTGTGAGATGAGTAAATCTTCCTTCCTTTAACTTTGGGGGTTAAATATTTTATCTCAGCAGCAAGAAAAGTAGCTAAGTCAGAATTTAGTACTGAGAGTGGGATCACTGCCGTGACTCTACCTGGCCATGTCGTATGGGAGTCTTTAAAACTAGCTTGTGGGAAGAGTTTGGAAAGGATCAGAGATGCCAGCTGAATAAGAGGTCCTGGATGCATTAAACCATACTTGACAGGAGATTCTGGTGACAGCTCAGAGGACCAGACACTCAATAGAAACACTACTGATGAAATTCAGGCTTGGGAGGTTTCTGCTGGGAGGAAACACTGATTAGCTGTTGGACTCCAGATGATGTGTGTTATGTCTTAGCAGAAAGTCTGTCTTCAGTTTGCTTGGTCCAGAGACTTTGCCTGAGACTGAGGTTAAGAGTGGCAGACTAAGGTGGCAGAAGAAGTTTCAAGACAATCTAATGTTGAAGCTATGACATGGCTACTATTGGGGGTTTTAGCCAGATTTATGTTAAGAATCGAGAGAAAGAAACC